GTGAGCTGGAGACATGGTATTTACTTTCCATAATGTAATTGTTATTACTCTGTGCTAATTGAAGCTAGCATGCTTTAGCTTTAAAGTCTTTCAAGAGTGTAAATAGAAAGTGGACCTTCAAACCATAAAATTGACTGTATTGAACTCAGCAGTGTAAATATTTGAATTATTGTTTATGCCTGGTTTTGGAGATGTGTCAGCTTTCTTGGGCTGGTAGATGCATAAAGAAAAAAGCTACAGCCTGATCAAAATGCTGCTAGTCTCATAAAATACTTCCTTTTTATTTGGGATGATATGCATTTAGGTTATTCCCATGGAAAATCTCATTCGAGACAGTCAGTGAAACTGACTTTCAAATTTATTTATGTTTGTGATTTTTAACTATATTTTTATCTGTTAGTTTCAACAACGTTTAAAAACAATTGGATTGGTTCAACCCTTCTGGACTCTCTCAAAAATCAAGTATTGTGTGTTATATTTTACATATATTAGTTTTCTGAAAGATTGTGGAAATTATCAGAAGTGTGTACTAATACATGAATTAATCCCAAACAGATTTAAAATCAGGTCATATATGAAAGCTGTGAGCAAATAGGGTATATATATGGTATATGTATATTTTCAGGTTCTTACCTACAAAAAATTAATGTAAAAAGCAGATAATACTTCTACAAATGACATGATATTTCTTCCAAACTGACATACATAAGGGCATTTTTTACTTTGGAGGATAACTACCATAACTTAAAAAATAGCACACCTTTTTAATGCTTGCTTGTCAAGTGATGGTGTTTTCTCAGGTGTGCTTTTTAAACACACCATTCTGTAGGAAAGTTTCCTGGAGTTAACTTTATAAGTGTGATTTAAGTTACTCCTGACATTTTTTTCCTTACATATTTTCATCTGGTAAGTATTGAATTGTATAGCCCTGTCAAACAAATAAATGGTTAACTCATTCCTAGAAAACCATTCTTTATCCAGAGAGAAGCAATTGGCTTCCTAATGATACTGCTTCTTGGGTTTTTTGTATTTTAAATAGAACTTAGAAACCATGGGTGAAGTCCTGGCTGAGGTAAAATAATTAGAGATTTAAGTAATAATTTCCAAACTTTATCCTTTAAATCGTGAAACAAGAAAATCACTCAGTGAATGTGTTTTCTCACTTGCAGCCCTTGCTCTGGTCTTGCCATATGTGCCTGCCTTGCAGGTGTAGTAGTAAAATCTGTTTTCCATGCAAACTTGTGTTACTTAACTTTATTTATATGTCTGGTATATAAAAGCAGGCATGGACTTTAAAGCACTTACTAAACAATCTGTAATATACTATATTCTCAAGTAATTAGACTTTTCTGTATCTGCCAACTATAGGAAATGTTCAATTCATTTTGGCAGATTTTTTTTTTTTTTTTAAGTAAAATAGTTTGTGCTTCAACTTCAGTCTTGGCTAAATGCAGCTGAAACAAATAAATTGAAATTCTTTCTTTTAAGTTATTACATTGTTTGAACTTGAAAGCACTTCCTGACATTTGTTACTGTGGCCTCTGCTTAAAGGAAAAGAAGTTACAAGAAGAAATGTGCATCACAACACTGAGATAATCAAGAAATTGTTTTATTCATGCATCAAGCAAGGGAAGTAGTAGGAGACAGAAAGTCTTACACTGCTATTTTAAAGAAATATAGATCCTTTTGGATTAATATTGACTGAAAATTTTATAGAAGTACAATTTCTGTTGCCCTATAGGCTACTGTAGTACAGCTGTGACAGATAATAGATCACATTCCATGATAGTACAAAGAAGATGCTCTATTTATGATTATGAGTCTGTAAAAGACAAAGCTAGCCTGCCTGTTGAAACTTTGCTATGATAAATCCTTAAGCAAAGGGACCTTTTGTCCTCTACCTTTTACTTTGTGTAAAGCAATTAATTCACTTCAACTTTGAGACCATTTCTGAGTAGCTTTAATTTTTATTTATTTTTTAAAACTTTTTGTTTATTTAAATTTCAGCTGAGATTTAACTTTTAATTATCTTGATTTTTGTGCATTTGTTGGGTTTTTTTGTTTGTTTTTGTTTTTTTTTTAATGGTCTAGGAAGTACATTGTTTTTGAGTCAGAAAGGATAATTTTGAGCATTCTCAATGATGGTGAATTTTGAGCTACTTTTTAGAATTTATTTAAACCTCTTTTGCGCAAAAGCTGGAGAGATGGTCCCCAGAGCTTTGGCTGGGATAGAGTTAATTTTGTTCATGGTAGCTGGCGTGGGCTATGTTTTGTATTTGTTTTTGAATCAGTGTTGATAACAGGGGGATGTTTTTGTTCCTGCTGAGCAGGGCTTGCACAGAGCCAAGGCCTTTTTGGATGCTCACACCATCCCACCGGTGAGTGGGCTGGGGGAAATGACACTGGGAGGTGACACAGCTGGGACAGCTGACCCCAACTGGCCCAAGTGATATTCCAGACCATATGACATCACCCTCAGCTTATAAATCTAGGGAAAGAAGGAAGAAGAGGAGGAAAGTTCAGAGTTAAAGCATGTGGCTTCCCAAGCCACCATTACCATGATGGGGCCTGGCTTTCCTGGAGGAGGCTGAGCACCTGCCTGTCCTTGAGAAGTGATGAATGAGTTCCTTGTTCATCTTGGCTTGCCCCTGTGGCTTTTGCTTTCCCTATTAGACTGTCTCTATCTCAATCCACGAGTTTTATTTTGCCCTTCTGATTTTGCCTCTTCTGTCCCACTGAGTGTGACCACTACCAGCCTCTCCTTTGGCAGCGCTGAGTTTGGAGACAGACATACTGGCAACTGTCCAGACAACAAGCACAGTCCTTTGACTCTTGTGTTAGAGGCTGTGCAGGGGGAAACCTTTGCTTTCTATTGCAGCTGAGCTGCTGCCACAAAACTTTAATATCTCAGGATGTTTTGTGATAACAGGATAGATGATGAAAACAGCTGTTGGAAGAGAGCTATGCACATCTTTAAAATCATAGGATCTCTTATTCTGAAAGGGACTTGCTGAAGTCATCTCATCCAATACCTTGCTCAGGTTTGATAAGACCAGATTGCTTGGAGATTTCTTACAATTTGGCATGTAGTTCTGGGGCAGCATAAGCTTCTAGACACTATAGTCCTTACAAAGCTGTGTGGAGTTTGGGGCTCTTCTCCTCCTACCTGTAAGTTGGTGCTAGTGTGCAGCATGCAGCCCTTTGTCAAGGAGTTTGTGTGTTGGAAACACCTCCTTTCTCTTAGCTAATTTTTTGGGGGAAGGAGGAGGAGGAGTCTAGTTTTGTCTGCATCAGTTTGCTTTTCACACCACTTCATCTATGAATATGAGGAGGAGTGATGGTGATAAGTGAAGAGGAAGGGTACAGGAAAGGCAGTGGCATCCACAGGACTTCATCCCAGTTTCCCAGTACCTGAGTGGAATACAGTCTCCAGTGATGTTTGTGGAGGTAGAACTGGCTGCCAGAATTTCCCAAACAAAATCATTGTTAACTTGGCTTAGTTATAATCTGTGTTCTTTCAAATACAGCAAGTAGACTTTCAAGAAGGTCTAAATACAAGATAAATTACAAAGCAGTGTTATTAGTATTGGAAAAGAAACAAGGAAATCTTTCAGCTCACGCTAATTCTTCAGGGCTTTGAAAGTAGTTTAGTATCTTGCTTTTAGAAGAAGCTCTCGAAATTCTAAGATAAATCAGCTCTCCAAACGAGTTCAGAATGCAAAAGTGTTGTTTAAAAATTTTCTAATATGTATCTAAATGTAGGCATACATTTTATAACTCTTACAATTCTGTCCTCTAGATGCATGTTTACTCTTTACTCCTCTTGCTGTGCATGCTAGAAGTGAGTTTGGTTTCTTCCACCAGTGACTTTGACTGTGTAGCTTTAATTTTAGAACAGGTTAAGCTTTCTAAGATATAGGTAGCTCTCCTGTCTGGAGCAATGGTGCATTCTGTCAGTTTTGAATGCTTTACCATTTATCCTTCTGGCAATACTCTGCCCTTTCAAGAATGTCTTGGGATGTCATTTGTGACACCCCAAGGATGTGGATTACACAAATAACCCAGAGTTAAAGATGTCCTTGTCATGGATTACATCTTGCATATTGCTGTCAGGTGTCAAAAGTGTTGTCATAAGCTGCAAGTAGTCGTCCTCTTTTTTTTCCTTAAAAAACAAAACAAAGAAAGGAACAAAAAACCCCAAACAAAACAAACAAGCAAACCAACAAAAACCACTAAAACAAAAAAATACCCAAAAAACCACTAAAACAAAAAAATACCCAAAAAACCACACAACCAAAAAAAACCACCCAGAACGAAAAAGAGCAAAAAAACCCCAAACCAAAACCAAAAAGTCCCTGCAAACCAGCTTTGAGTTAGGAATTAAATTAAAACTGGGGAAGTGTAGATGTATTGTTATCCTCCCATACTCTGAAATACTCATTTGTGGCCTCAGGAGGTGTTCATTGGTCTAAAAAATAACAAAGTGGATGCATTTCAAATATGTGTCCTTGGTAGAAAGGCAGTAGTTCCTGGTAGATTAAAGTGCCTTTCAGGGTAAGGTTTTTGAGGTGCTTAAATTTATTCTGTTAAAACTTGCTGTTGTAAAATAAACACAGACATGGGTGTACATATCTTGAGATACATGGTTGAAGGGTATGTAGGAGAGGACCTGGATATTTGCTGTAGGAGAAAGCTCTTAATGTTGTGTTGAGCTCAAGTAATTTAAGCACTTGCAAAATGACTCAATCCAAAAGACATGTGAAATACCTTGAACCTCCTCATCACCCACTATTTTTTATACCAGGAGTCTTTTGAAACCTGTTGAAAGCACTCCATGGGAGTGTTGTTTGGGTGGAAAGCTCTGATAATTTACAGTCCTCCTTGTCAAAATACAGGAAAATCACTCCTGAAATGTTTGTCTTTTTTAGTTTTTCTAGTTTTTAAGTTGACAAAGTAGCTGCAAACTCCCTTCAACTGTGAACATGTCCTCTTCTTTTCAGGTGAGAGCTATGTGTGTGCGTCCAATGAACCGTACCGCAAGGTTGACTACACCAAGAACGTCAACCCGAACTGGTGCGTGAACATAAGGACTGGCTCCAGCCGCTCCTTGACGTCTCTGACATCCTCGAGGAGCGAGGTGAAGGAGAGCAAAGATTTCATTAAACCCAAACTGGTGACTGTTATTAGGAGTGGGGTAAAGCCACGGAAAGCTGTGAGAATTCTGCTGAACAAGAAGACTGCTCACTCCTTCGAGCAGGTCTTGAATGACATCACCGAAGCCATTAAGTTAGACTCGGGTGTAGTCAAGAGACTTTGTACACTGGATGGGAAGCAGGTAGGAGGATAAACTGCTATGGCCATCTAATAATCTGAGATGCTCACTTTTCATAAGTTTAGTTCTTGTTACTGTGTATGCTTTAATCTGCTTCTGAATAATGACAGTTAAAAAATTCAACTTTTAAAAGCATTGTTAAAATATTAATACGCACAACACAATTAGAATTGTTAAAATAAGTGGATCTTTACATTCAAGTAAAACAATTTTTTTTTTATGCCAGCCTTTTTGCATTGCTCAAAAAAGTGACTGTTTATTGAGTAATACAGTTTATTTGAAACATTTGAACTTGTTAAGATATCTATGTGTTTTCAGACTACCACATAGCGGCTGAGTGGTATAAGAAAAGTATCAATGTCTCCTTCCATTGCACTTCCACAGATTGCTATTTCCAGAGGTAGTAACTGACATGAGCTGAGGTCAAGAATTGTATCTAAAATGAATCATTCTGGGAGGGTGGTCATATCTTTGCAGCTTGCTTTTTTTTTGCTGTTAGTTTTATCTCTGCAAAAACAAAGCTAGGGTTAATGATGTGGTAGGTGTGTATTCTTGCACAGAAATACAAAGGGTGGCCCACAGGATGTTCTGCTGCACCAGTTTAAAGTGTCAGGAACACACTTGGTGTTGATCAGTCACATTAATGACTCAGCCCTTCATAGAGCAGGACTTTGATACCTGAGACTTTTATTTGACACTGCTGTGGAACTCTGACAGAATTGTGACTTTAGTAATAGAGCAAGACAGGCGCAGAGTAGATCACATTGGTATCAGGTACCCAGACTCTTGTATTGTTGACTAAATATACAATTGATATCCTTGCCTATTCAACAAGTACTGATATACACCTGCATACCTGTACATCTGCATGAAGTAGTTGTAAAAGTTTCAGTTGTGTTCAGAGATGTGGCATTTTTATTTTCACTATTTTTATAATGTTTAATGCCAAAAAACCTTTTTTTGTGGTACAAGCTTCTAGCAAATGTATCACAGAACAAGTGCACTTAGATTGCCTCAGTATGAGCTCTGTCTCTGGTTATGTTCTGTGTGCTTAGATACAGTTCTTGTAGGGAAATATGTGAAAAGAATAACTTCTGTGTTTTGATGAAAATGTAGCAAGGCAAAGGCATCACTGAAACTCTTGATTTTCAGTGTTTGGTGGCAGCACAATGATGTGGCAGCTCCTTAGTTCTTCTAATAGGTTTAATTTTAAATGAGATTTGTTAATGCTGCTTCTTAACAGAGAATCCTTCCTAGGAACATCCAAACAGTGTTTGTCATGTTTAATTTAATTGATAAGAAAAAAGCATAATAAATTATTTATTATGCAGTAATGAGTCTCTTTAGCCCATGAAGTGTTCTGACACGGTCTCAGGATTTTGATCCTCTCAGGCAAGTAGGGAGTCAGTAAGGGAAACTGCAAGAGCTAGGATTGTCAGTTCACATTCACCTCTTCTTGCATTGTCAAAACAGTAGAAACACACTCATCTGCACTGTTATGGAGGATGCAATAGTGCATCAGGGATCAATAAAAGTAGTTTACATTAAATATCATATACATTGCTTGCATGTTGCCATCACCCATGGTGGATGATGACTGTCTTCCGTCTACGGTGAGGATGACCAATTATTGGTAATGCTCCAAAATAGGATTTTTTTTTTTTTTTGTTTTTGTTTTTGTTTTGCTGCAGGACCTCCTCCTCCCCTTCTGTGGTAAAGGCAGTCAGTGAACTTGGACTGCAGCTGTAGGAGTGTTCTGAGGCGGGATTGAGAAATCCCTAATTCTGACTGTGAGCATTCTGCAGAGAGTTGCTGCATGCAGCTGCCTCTCTGTGTGAACTGTTCCAGCAGCAGCAGTGTGTAAATGTGGGGACCTCCCTTCCATTAGGAAGACAAGCCTTGTGCTTTCCCACAGACTTTGGGAAGGAGCCTTTGTTGCACAACCACAGTGTAACTGTGTTTTAGGAGCTTGTGAGATGGAGTGCCCCAAAGAGAAGACCTATCACTTCAAACACCCTGGCAGAAAATAAAAGCCTTCTAATACTTACCTAGGAGGATGGAGAGTTCTTGTTTTGTTTTCTTTTTTGTTTATTTCTCTTTCCCCAAAGTGAAGGGCTGACCCCAGTTTGAGGCAGTAGGGTTTTTTTAAAATTTGTTTGTTCTCTGCCGGTATATGTAGAGGTTGGTGCCGAAGGGCTTTTTGCGGTTTGGCACATGAAGAGTTCCTTTGCTGCCAACTACCAATTGGTGGAAATTTCTGAGCCTATTTTCTCTAATGTAGTAATTGCTTATTCTTCTAAATCTGCTAGGGAGGCAGATCTTTTATGTTTGTTCTGGTGTTGGCACAGCTTGAAAGGCAACCAATAAAAAAAAGGCATTTTGTAAATGGCGATGTTCCTATAAATGTAGCCCTTGTGTTTCTCATGGCTTTAATTTTTTTCCTTGCTCCTTCATATTTTTATCTCTGTGGAAATACTTTTATTTTTTTTCCTGAGTGAATAGGCTTAGGTTGTATTTTCTGTTTAATATGAAAATGGGGGTGGAATTCAGATGATTAAGACATGCATGTATAAAACTTGTATCCTTTGATTAGGGAATGCATTGTTCTGTTAACTTATGGTGTGATTTTTTTATTCCATTAGAACCATTTAATGTGTAGGAAGAAATGGTGATAAAACCAGTGATCTTTCTGACCAGGAGAAGAGAAAGAATGTTTTCAAAAGAGTTTTTATTTGCTCTCCTGACTTCATTAATCTTGACTGCTGCAAAATCTTGATGATAATAGTAAAACAGAGAATAACACCTGAGTTGGATATTTTCCTTGATTTTTCTGTGTGAAAACAGACAAGTGTCTGGTTTTTAATTGTAAGATTTTATAATATTGCAAGGTTTCCTTTTATCTTCAGTTCCAAAATGAATGCTGTAACTTAACATATTAGTGCTTTGTAGCCTGAAGTACAGATCTATTTTTAAATTGTTCTTATGCTGGGCTTAATTCTAACTTTTAAGCTATTGAGCAACCAACTTTTTTTTAACCTCCCAAGATTGTTGAGAAGATTTTTAAGTGAGAGAAATATTTCTGTGAAAGTAACTGGGCTTTAACTTTGCAGTGCAGGCTTCTGCTGTTCCAGTCTTTGTGCTTCTGACATTGAGGTTTGCCTAATATATTTTCTTGACCAAAGTGTTTTCCTTACTTGGCTGCATTTTCCTGGAATCTGTCACTGTCCTACTGTGAAGCAAGGACAGTCAGACTGAAACTTCTCCAGTTGGGAAGTTAACCCTTTGTTACCTCTGAAGAGAATGGAGGGTTTCTTTCTTGCTAAACAAGCTTTGAGTTCAGTAATTGTGGAGTGTGGGGTGGTGACTGTGTGGTAAGTTGTGGGGAGAGATTCCCTGTGAGAAGCTCACAAAAAACCATACACAACTCTGGACCTTGTGTTGTTTGACACACAAAAGAAAACTAAATCTTCACACTTTTTAAGCCTGCGGTGTGTTGCAGTTTCATGGATTAATGTCCATAACAGGATTGAAAATGTGGATGAGACACCTTTTCTATAATCTGTTGTCAAAAGAGTGAGAATGCACCAAAAATTAGCCTTATTTTGAAAGTGTTTTTTGATGGGTATATTGGGGGCTATCTCTGGAACCAAAAGTTCTCCAATTTTCTTTCAATGAATTATTTTTTATAAAGTGTTCATTAAAAGTAAATTGGTAATAGAAGAAAACAGTTATTACATATGGATGTATTTATCACTTATTGTGTTCTCCTCCCAGTGATTTTTTTATTCTCTAGTGACAGACTCAAAAACTCTTAGTAGAGAAGATAGCTTTTGAAAACTGAATTTTGTATTTGCTTTGCTGTTAACATACCCATCACAGAGGGCAGAAACCAAAATAAGGGATGAGCAGGAGACATTTTGTTTATGAGTGTAACAGATTTTCCCAATATTCTTGGTAGGCTTTTGTCATTCAGATCTCAAAAATTTCCATTAATACAGTATTTTTGCTACAATCTTAATCTCAGTAGAGATCTTACTGTTTAGTATTGAGAGAAGTTTTAGAACATATGGATTTCATTTTTCTTAGTTTTTTTGTTTCGTTGGCGAAGTCCTACTTGTATGAGATGACTTTTTAAAAAAATAATTTTATTTCAGTTAAATACTTTTTGGCAAATATTTCCCTTTAGTTCAATTCTCTCCTACTAAAAGAGGATGTTCCTTAAGCAACCAGGCTCTAGACATGTCCTTTTTGTGTTTTTGTCATTTAATTGTGCTGTTACATCACTGATGTCTCATTGCAGGCTAAGAAACCACTGTAATAGAAACACGTTTCAGAGTTAACAGGCAGTTAACAGGCATAATTTCTAGTTGAAAGCTACCAAAGTAAATCAAGTGTTTATCCTCCATCTCAGACTTTAACCTAATACAGACACTGTACAAATGTATTGGAAATGGCACAGGTTTGAATTTTTGCTACAAGCAATTTTGCAAGAAGAGAAATCTCCAGCTTTATTTTTTTTCAGTTCTAGTTCTGCTGAAATTTAAAATACTATTTTAAGCTGAAATGTTGCATTAATCTGCAAGTATGAGGGGAAGAAATCCTTAAGCCCTCACATAGCTCACAACTCTTTATAAGGCTTATATATTGTTACTGGGGAATGTCAGTGGCAGCTGCAGAGAGTGATTCTCTGCATTGCAGATCCCACAGAGGGAATTTGTGGGCAAGGAATCTTTCCTCAGCTAACTTCAAGATTTTGAATAGCAATGTTAGGCCCTGAATTCATCCTGAAGTCTGAGGGTCACAAGTGGTAGAGTCAGCTTGCAGAAAGGGATTTACAATTTGACAAGCTGCAGCAGAGTGATTGGGGATTTGACACTGTGGAGATGATTGCCAATAGAACTATGCAAAGAGTAGATATGTTGGATAGAGATGCTTTTTAGAATTCATGGTTCGTATCTACATGAAAAAGAAGTGAATCTGCCTATTTTGTGGAAAGAGGCATT